GTCAAATATCAGTCATATTTGTGCGTGCGTGGGTATGTATGTGTGAATGTATATGTATATATTTCCTTCTGTTAATTTTTTATTTTATTTTATTTTATTTATTTTTTTATTTATTTTTTTATTCACTGGGGTGTACAGGAGGGGAAGGGAAATAAGGGGTAAAAAGGGGTAAAAAAGAAATATATTGTGTTTACTCTGATATGTTAATTGTATGATCGCAATATGAATAATGTCACAATAAAAAATAAAAACAAAAAAAAGTCACAATCAATCAACGTCATTTATTCTGTTTTTGTTTTTTGTTTTTGTATCAATAGCCTATTTATTTAATGATCCTTATTCATTTCATTTCAAATACAGTTTCTGGATGTTATTTGCTTATATAAAAACGCTTCTGTTATTCATGATCAAGTATCGTCTATAGTAACGTGAGGCTAAAGAAGTAAGAATGAAGGATAAACTGAAATTCACGCATTTCAACACAACTTCTGCTCACGTGTTTGAAGGCGTCCATTGATCATCGACAGTGACAGCATCGTTTCATATCGAGCATCAGAGAATTAAAGACTCACTTATTCACTCCATTTTACTTGTTTTTGCGTATAAATATTTTTCACGTTCAAATATATTTTTTTCGTATCCAACATCAGTGTACATAAGTGTGAAACACAGCTGATACCTGAAGCGCGTGAGTGACGGAAGATGAAGAGCAGACACTCCTCCTCCTCCTGATGCTGGATGTGGAGAATCAGCTTTATGAGCAGAAACACAGGAATCAACAAGATGAACCGCTTCATGAAGACACACACACACACACACACACACGAGACAGCAGAGTGAACTGGACTGGACCAGATATAAAGATAGAGGGCGATGCGGAAATGACGAAGAAGTGCGTGCCTCTCTGATCTAGTGTTTCCTTTGTGGGCTGCTTTTCCTTTGAGTCAAGTGTGTGTGTGTGTGTGTGTGTGTGTGTGTGTGTGTGTGTGTGTGTGTGTGTGTGTGTCACTTAAAACATCCAAACTGTGAACTGCAGTAGTTCAGAGAATGTTTTTGCTCTTCAGTTCTGGGAAAACACTTCTTATTACCGACACATTTTCTCTGGTTTTATTTTAAACATTAATGCGTTGGAAAAAACATAGTCTACATAAAACCAACGTATTAGATATTTGTCATTGTTTCTTGCTTTCGTTGTTCTGTTTAACTGGTCATCTATTTCACAGGACTCACTGGTTCTACTGTAAAGTCTCTGACTGGTGTCGCTCCACATAGACAGCTTCTGTCATGCTGACTATATCACATCACTAGCAGAAGATCTGAGAAACACATTAAAACACCTTTATCCGTCTCAAAACACACTGAACAAACACACATGTGCTCAGAAAGTTTTTGCTTTATTACGACAATAACAGAGTTATTTAAAAAACAATTTTAAAAAAAGCATCTTTATTAAAATCAATCACAGCAACACTAGTAAATATTCACATCAACTTAAATATGAATGACATAAAAGCAAAGTGAAATTGTTACCAATGATGAATGTGGAATTTGTTGTGATATTTAAGAATACATTTAATATCACATAGGCTAATTTAGCAGATTTAGTATTATTATTACTATTACTATTTTACTATTATTACAGCTACATACAATACATAACCAGACGTTTCGACTATAGGCTGAAATATTGATTTCCTTCTATATAAATCCATTATTCTCAATATTATTCCCCTTTTCTGCAGTAAATTCCCTTCAGACAAAAATCATTCGGGACAATATATTTAAAACCACCCGGTCCGGGACAATATAATTAAACCAACCCGGTCCGGGACAATATAATTAAACCAACCCGGTCCGTGACAATATAATTAAACCAACCCGGTCCGTGACAATATAATTAAACCAACCCGGTCCGTGACAATATAATTAAACCAACCCGGTCACCGGTTCGGGACAATGTAGGCTATTTAAATCAACCCGGTCACCGGTCCGTGACAATATAATTAAATCAACCCGGTCACCGGTTCGGGACAATATATTTAAATCAACCCGGTCACCGGTTCGGGACAATATAATTAAATCAACCCGGTCACCGGTTCGGGACAATATAATTAAACCAACCCGGTCACCGGTCCGTGACAATATAATTAAATCAACCCGGTCACCGGTTCGGGACAATATAATTAAATCAACCCGGTCACCGGTTCGGGACAATATATTTAAATCAACCCGGTCACCGGTCCGTGACAATATAATTAAATCAACCCGGTCAACCCGGTCACCGGTTCGGGACAATAGCTATATTTGAATCAACCCGGTCAACCCGGTCACCGGTTCGGGACAATATAATTAAATCGACCTGGTCAACCCGGTCACCGGTCCGGGACAATATAATTAAATCAACCCGGTCCGGGACAATATAGCCTATTTGAATCAACCCGGTCCGGGACAATGTATTTAAATCCACCCGGTCCGGGTTGAACAAAGACTGCGAGTCAATGTTTAGAAATTATTAATTATTATTATGTTTTGAACTATGTTGTATGGCTGTGTTTTCGGTGTGTTCATTGTCAAACTAAAAAAATAGTTTGTTTTTAATTATTAAGAAAAATGCTATTATTTTATATGAAAAAGTTAATAATTGTATTTTATTGAGAAAATATATATATATATTTTTTATTATTATTTTGATTAGATCATATGGTCGTGTTATGACGTACTCGTCCATTCTTTCAGGGTAAATCAAGAAAAAAGTATACACTGTATTAATAAAATATAACCACATAATTGTACTAGACGTGTGTGAGATTAATTTGGGAAATATTCATACTGTGAAGTAGATTTACACACACTGAAAGTCCACAAGCGTTAGGTTGTGTCGCGCTCTCTCCTAAACATTGTACATTTATTTTCTTCCATGAACCTTTAGTTTAGACGGAATAAAAATACTAAAAAAATACTAAATGACTAAATGTAAATGTACTAATAATCATTTATTAAACTGCTAAACACAAAATCCTGTACAATCTGTAGCGGATGGATGTGAAGCTCGTAAAGGCGAGACACTACACACACACACACACACACACACACACACACACACACACAGTGTTTTCATGCGTCACACGATGCCTAAGCCAGAACTCTCCACTTCAGCTTTACACGCACACAACTTTACTTTATATTCTTATATCCTGAAGGCTTTTACAGGGGGATTTGGTCATATATACACAAAAACAAATGTGTACAACCACCACTCAAAACCAAAATAAAGTGTTCCAACCAATCACTGACAGGGGCGGGTGTTGTGAGGTTTTGCGCTCGTGCACGGCTGGACGCGAAATTGGAGCAACACCCGCCCCTGTCAGTGATTGGTTGGAACACTTTATTTTGGTTTTGAGTGGTGGTTGTACACATTTGTTTTTGTGTGCAGATCTCAGAGCCTAGGCTGCCTACAGAGACGCGGTTTTTGGACGGCATGCTTATGGGGCGAGCAGCTAGCGGATCGTTAGGAAAGATTAGACATTTATTTTTGGGCCTGAAATCACTGATACAACCTTTAAGAGAGAGAACATGAAAAGTTTGTTAGCGTCACTTTAACACGAACCCGTCCTAAACGTGTGTTGCTTATGTCAAATATCAGTCATAATCAATCTACGTCATTTATCCTGTTTTTTTTTTTTTTTTGTATCAAAAGCCTATTTATTTAATGATCCTTATTCATTTCATTTCAAATACAGTTTCTGGATGTTATTTGCATATAAAAACACTTCTGTTATTCATGATCAAGTATCGTATATACCGGTTGTTGTTTTTTTATTATTGTACTTTTGTGAATCTTGTAACCTATAGGCTCCTCACTGTGCATAATGTTATTTTGGTCCTGCAAAATGAATATTAATAAAATAAATCAAGCCACAATGTCTCACTTTTTTACATATTTTTATTCAAAAATATTAATTTCTCTGCTGTGGAAGGACTTCGCCTACTTCTTCTTTTTACAGATAATTTCTCCAGCCTTTGAAAAAATTAGGGACACTTGTTGCTGGCATGCAAAGATATTTTTTAGCTAGGACATACAAATGAGGAAAGATTACTTTCCAGTAAGTTAGTGGATCATGAGTTCTGGGCAAATACGCATCGTTGATGTATTTTTTTCACTTCCACTGTGGCATCAGCTGTAGCATTGTGTATCATCTGGGTTTGATGGATACGAGTATCAAAAAGTTCCCATAAACTGTCCTGTGTTTCTACTGGTGTTGACCACAGATGTACAGATGTTTATCTATCTATCCAAATCTATCTAGATATGTATCTCTAATCTATCTATGTAATTAGAAATATGTATCTACAATCTATCAATGTATAGATATCTGTATAATATGTATCTCTAATCTATATGTATTTAGATATGTATCTATAAATGTAGGCCTATCTATAATCTATGTATTTATATATGTAGCCTATCTTTAATCTATCTATATATGTATCTATCTATTAATCTAGCTGTCTATATGTATATCTATGTATCTATTAATGTGTCAGTATATGTATACTCTGTCTCTAGCCTATCAGTCAATGTGTTGTGTAAATTTAAATGTAAGCCTAAATATAACTAAACAAATCGCACTATAAATGTCACTATATCACCAAAAATCTCAAAATCAAACTCCTCTCACAAAAACCCACGAGGTCAATATTGATTTCACTTTTATACAGATGTGCGATTGTGTGGTTTGTTTCCGACCGTGTGTGTCAATCAAACGCTGATTCGGCGGATCACACCTGATGAAACACTTGTGAAACACGTCGAGGCTTCGTTTGGCCATAGTCACGTGACGTGTGTTTTGAATCACGCTTCGGATCAGTGTTTCGAAACATCTGCGCTTCGGGATCTCGCAAAGCTTCGGAACGACTGTTTCGCGTCAGCCATCCCTACCGCTAGGGGGCGCGGGTGAGTTTCGAGCTCGCACTGTTTCACTTTCGGTTCTGTCCGTTTCTGCGTTGAACACAAAATGGCGAAGCACGCTGGTAAGGTTTGATGATTAACAACAAAATATGTATATTAACATGTTAAACGGGTCTATGATATGTAGGAAATCAAATCTCACTACTTACGCAATTATTTATTTATGAATTATTCATTTAAAGGAGCGTTTAAGAACGGAGAGTCCGACGGACGGTGACACACGCAGGGTGCATTAAAGTTAAACTTTACTGATTTTTAAGAATAAATTGGAAGCAAACAATGCATTGGCACTGAGTGTTTTTGTTATGTCGCTGCCACTTCAATACAAGTATTAAAATCATTGTTTGCCTCAAAAAAAGTTTGCAGAAAAATGTCAGGCCTTTTATTAAAACGAGGAAATGTATAGGGTTAACATCTAATATGTTCATTATGAAGATCAAAACCATGCACGAAATAACACCAGTAAATAAATGCAAACAGAAATAGGCACATGTGAATAATAGAAGATTAACAGATCTGCAGCTGTAAACAGATTGTGGGATATTTGTGTTATTTTCTGTCATGTTCTTGTTCATTTTAATCCATCAGTGAAAAAGCTTGTTTTCTGATATGCCTAATGTTCAGCAGATACTCTAACAGTGTGTGTGTGTGTGTGTGTGTGTGTGTGTGAGATAGGCAGAAAAAGTCCAGATTTTGAACGCCCCGACAGTAAGTCCATTAAATGATTATTTCAGTGTTTGATTTTTCTCTTTAAATGTTTTTGGTTGGTTTTCTGTTTGTCTTTTATGTTACTATGTGATATATGAGGACATTAATAAATGATTATGCTAGTGCAGAAGTTAAATGCAGAAAAAGTTAATAAAATGCACATGGAAGAGACTTGTCTTAAACTTTAGGGTTGTTGATATTATTTATGTTGTAGTGCAAGTCATAATGTTCAGCAGATTCAATAACTGTGTGTTTTACTGTGTTGTTTTGCAGTGAGCGAAGATTCAGATCGGCTCAAAAGTAAGTCCATCTAACAGAAAAGTGTGATATAGTTTTTGTAGGGGGGAGGGGAGGGGGGGGGGGGGGGCTGTACAGTATACAGGCTGAGTTCTTTATCATAAAATAACATTTTCTTATGCAAATATACACTCACCGGCCACTTTATTAGGTACACCTGTCCAACTGCTCGTTAACACTTAATTTCTAAGCAGCCAATCACATGGCGGCAACTCAGTGCATTTAGGCATGTAGACATGGTCAAGACAATCTCCTGCAGTTCAAACCGAGCATCAGTATGGGGAAGAAAGGTGATTTGAGTGACTTTGAACGTGGCATGATTGTTGGTGCCAGAAGGGCTGGTCTGAGTATTTCAGAAACTGCTAATCTACTGGGATTTTCACGCACAACCATCTCTAGGGTTTACAGAGAATGGTCCGAAAAAGAAAAAACATCCAGTGAGCGGCAGTTCTGTGGGCGGAAATGCCTTGTTGATGCCAGAGGTCAGAGGAGAATGGCCAGACTGGTTCGAGCTGATAGAAGGGCAACAGTGACTGAAATAACCACTCGTTACAACCGAGGTATGCAGCAAAGCATTTGTGAAGCCACAACACGCACAACCTTGAGGCGGATGGGCTACAACAGCAGAAGACTCCACCGGGTACCACTCATCTCCACTACAAATAGGAAAAAGAGGCTATAATTTGCAAGAGCTCACCAAAATTGAACAGTTGAAGACTGGAAAAATGTTGCCTGGTCTGATGAGTCTCGATTTCTGTTGAGACATTCAGATGTTATAGTCAGAATTTGGCGTAAACAGAATGAGAACATGGAACCATCATGCCTTGTTACCACTGTGCAGGCTGGTGGTGGTGGTGTAATGGTGTGGGGGATGTTTTCCTGGCACACTTTAGGCCCCTTAGTGCCAATTGGGCATCGTTTAAATGCCACGGCCTACCTGAGCATTGTTTCTGACCATGTCCATCCCTTTATGGCCACCATGTACCCATCCTCTGATGGCTACTTCCACCATGTCACAAAGCTCTAATCATTTCAAATTGGTTTCTTGAACATGACAATGAGTTCACTGTACTAAAATGGCCTCCACAGTCACCAGATCTCAACTCAATAGAACATCTTTGGGATGTGGTGGAACGGGAGATTCGCATCATGGATGTGCAGCCGACAAATCTGCGGCAACTGTGTGATGCCATCATGTCAATATGGACCAAACTCCCTGAGGAATGCTTCCAGCACCTTGTTGAATCTATGCCACGAAGAATTGAGGCAGTTCTGAAGGCAAAAGGGGGTCCAACCCGTTACTAGCATGGGGTACCTAATAAAGTGGCCGGTGAGTGTATGTTAAGCTTCAGCACAACAGTGAACAACATGAAAACAAATATGATAAGTTAAAAGAGAAACCACTAAATAGAGACAAACAAACAGATTGTGCATCAGTCACAATCATGTAAAGGAGAAAATGGATGAATGTATTATTAGTGATGCACTATTGTGCAAAATAGCCTCAATAGGTTAAACGCAGTTAATTTGAAAGCATTACTTCCTATGTCCAGTAGATGGAAGTCCTGCTAAAGTTCACTGCAAACAACTACCTGCATCTCATATCATACATTACCGTTTACCCCTACTGTTTATTCACCTGTTTATTTAAGGGAATTAAAATTTTCTCTGGAACGATGAAGGATGAATCACAACTCTGTATAAAGATGTGTAAAGGACAAATATACTTGAAATTATGTTAGTCCACTAGTGCTTCTCACTTTTTTCTCATCTATTTTTTTGAAAGATTTGTTTTTAAATTTGACATTTTTATTTATTAGTAGGCAGAAACTCAGTAGGAAGTACTATATTATTGTTCTTATATCTTACATCATGTAAAATTCTACAAAACAATATGGAAGTAAAATAATGCCAAATGTTTTTGAAACAAAAAGCCTCTTGAATTGCACTACTTGAAAAAAAATATGCATTGCATTAACCATTCTTGCATTTTAATGCATTGTATTTTTAGGACTTGCATTTTTTTATTGGCTCAAATTCGACATGCATTCAAAACATTTCAAACACATTTTCATTATTAAAAATTCAATAATCCATATTCACCCTTCATATTTCACTTCCAAAATATTCAAACTGATTAAAAATACAACCTATAATATTCAACAGGCAATTTTCGGTCCATTTTATTTCGCTTACACAAATTCAGTGGTTCAAATTCGACAGTAAATTCAACATTGACATCCAGGAACTGCAGGAAAAGCAGTAGATTACCGTGCATAATCTCCATCTGTTGTTAGTCGACCTCGCCAGCAGGGGGTGCAAGCGCGTGTTGTTGAAGAAGACAAGAGCAACAGTTAGAGCAAGCCATTCATTCATAAAAACTAATTTATAGAAATGTGTGTAGAAATCTATTTGTGATTATTATGAGGGCTGTTTTTATGTTTAGTTTGGTGTCTTCACGGTGTTACATGTATGTCCTGTGTTTCCCCGTTTAGTGTTTTTGGTTCAGTCCGGTGTCCCAGTTTTCCCGCTCCTCGTTTGTGTTCAGTTTCTTCACCTGTGTTTAGTTAATTTGCCCCAGCTGTGCCTTGTTTCCCTAATCTGTTCCCTGTGTATTTAAACCCTGTGTTCTCCCTCATTCCTTGTCCGTTCTCGTTTGTATTAAGACGTGAGTTGTGACTCCTAAGTTTTGTTTAAATAAATTCCTGTTCTCCTGTTCCTGGTCGTCTTCCTCGTGTGTCCTCCACCACGTCCCGTGACAGAAGAACGGACCCTAAAAAGGAAAAGAGATGGACCACTTTGCAGCAGTCGAACTGCTGTGCCTCGAGCAGAAGGACCGTTCCCTAGAAGAACATTTGGAGGAGTTCCTCAACCTAGTACCAGCTACTACCTTCCCGGACAACTGCCTCTGCAGCTTCCTGCATGCCAGCCTGAACACCGCCACCAGAGAGCAGCTGTTCGGGGAGGGCCCTCGGTGGTGCTTCCCCGAATATGTTGAGTGGTTATTGGTGTCCTGTGATTCGCCGCTCACAGTGGGCCCTGCCGAGCCTGAGCCCGAGTCTTGTCCTACCGAGCCTGCCATCAGGTCTGTCTATGGACGCTAAGGGCTGGTGTCCAGCCAGGCAGATCCTCCATTAAAGGCCACACGAACCGCCAAGAAGCCCGCCCCGCCAAGATCGTCCAGCCAGAGCCCTCACCGCTGGTCCCGTCCAGCCCAGAGCCCTCTTCGCCGCTGGTCCTGTCCAGCTCAAAGCCCTATTCGCCGCTGGTCCTGTCCAGCTCAAAGCCCTCTTCGTCGCTGGTCCTGCCCAGCTCAAAGCCCTTTTCGCCGCTGGTCCTGCCCAGCTCAAAGCCCTCTTCGCCGCTGGTCCTGTCCAGCCCAGAGCCCTCTTCGCTGCTGGTCCTGCCCAGCTCAAAGCCCTCTTCGCCGCTGGTCCTGTCCAGCCCAGAGCCGTCTTCGCCGCTGGACCTGCCCAGCTCAGAGCCCTCTTCGCTGCTGGTCCTGTCCAGCCCAGAGCCCTCTTCGCCGCTCGACCTGCCCAGCTCAAAGCCCTCTTCGCCGCTGGTCCTGTCCAGCCCAGAGCCGTCTTCGCCGCTGGACCTGCCCAGCTCAGAGCCCTCAGAGCCGCTGGTCCTGTCCAGCCCAGAGCCCTCTTCGCCGCTGGTCCTGTCCAGCTCAGAGCCCTCTTCGCTGCTGGACCTGTCCAGCTCAAAGCCCTCTTCGCCGCTGGTCCTGTCCAGCCCAGAGCTGTCTTCGCCGCTGGACCTGCCCTCAAAGCTCTCTTCGCCATTGGTCCAGTCCAGTACAGAACCGCCTTCATCACTGGTTCTGTCCAGTCCAGAGCCCTCTCTTCACGTCACGCCTGCCGAGCCAGACCCTCACGTCACGCCGGGCCAGCCAGAGACTGTTCACGTCCCGTCTGCCCAGCCAGAGACTGTTCACGTCACGTCTGTCCCAGAGCCTGTCACTCTCCCCAAGATTTTTTTTGGGGGGGGGGGGGGGGGGGGGGGCTATAGGCCTCCGTCCGCCATGGTCACCCGAAGGGGCGTCTTCGCCATGGCCACCCGAAGGGTCTTCACCGCCGTGGCCTCCCGAGGGGTCTTCACCTCCGTGGCCGCCCGAGGGGTCTTCACCTCCGTGGCCGCCCGAGGGGTCTTCACCTCCGTGGCCGCCCGAGGGGTCTTCACCGCTGTAGCCTCCCGAAGGGTTGTCTCCGCCGTGGCCTCTCGAGGGGTCTTCACCGCCGTGGCCTCCCGAGGGGTCTTCACCGCCGTGGCCTCCCGAGGGGTTTTCACCGCCGTGGCCTCCCGAGGGGTCTTCACCTCCGTGGCCGCCCGAGGGGTCTTCTCCTCCGTGGCCGCCCGAGGGGTCTTCTCCTCCATGGCCGCCCGAGGGGTCTTCACCGCCGTGGCCGCCCGAAGGGTCCTCTCCGCCATGGCCGCCCGATGGGCTCGCTCCGCCCTGGCCACCTGCACAACCTGCTCCACCCTGGCCACCTGCACAGCCTGCTCCACCCTGGAGGCTTCCTACTCCAGATAGTCCACGCCCTCGTCAGCCTCCAGGGCTCCAAGCAACTGAAAAAAGCACAAATGTCAGGGCATGTCAAAACATCTCAAGGACCCCAAAAACACCTTGGACCCCAGAGGGTTAAAAGCCCCGAGTCAGCTGCCAACAGTAGATCATTGGTTATTCTGACAAGAGCAGTCTCAGTCAGTGCTATGGTGGGGACGAAAACCAGATTGGAATTGTTCATAGAAGTTGTTATTAGAGAGATGTTCATGAATTTAAATTGCAATACACTTTTCCACTACCTTAGAAATAATTGGTCAATTTAAAATTGGAAAAAATACGAAAATTATCAAAATGAAATGGATCACCCCCTGGTTTCTTAAGTATGGGAGTAATAATAGCAGATTTAAGAGATGGAGATACAGAACCAGAAACAAGTGAAGCATGAACAATTTTAGTGATCAATGGCGACAGGGCTGGTTGTTGCTGGTATATTTATTAAGTAACAAACAAACACAAACTACAAACAAAACCCGCTCGTTGGGGGGAAACAAGAACAATAAAAGGGAGGATCAGGAAACACAAGGAACATGGACAACTTGGACAACGAACCAGCACAGGACTGCAAACACAGGGAGACTAAATAGGGAAACAAACATAAGAGGGTAATGAGGCAGGCGGGTGGGACAAATTAATCAATAATGAGATAACAAGATGGGCGGGGCTAGACAATTGACAGGAGAGCACATGACACAAGGAAATACATGACAAGCCATGTGCTCACAACAAACCAGACTAAACACAAACACATGACAAACCGGGAATGTCAGAGCTCTGTCACCAAACCAGATATAAACCAAACAGAGGTGACAGAAACCCTGACACTGGTAAACAAGCTTTCACTAACTGGCAAATCGAAGATTTAGATTTACCTATCAGACCCACTAACTGGACTAACAGGAGTCATTGTGAAAATTACCCGTGAGTAATTGCTGATGTACATTTCCAACCTTAGATGTAAAAAAAGTCAAAAAGCGATCACATAAGTCAGTGGAATACATATCATATGGCAAGGAATCAGGTGGTTTAAGTATATTGTTTACCACCAAAAAAAGAGACCTGGAGTTCCCATTGCTAACTCCAATTACATTGGAGTAGTAATCAGATTTAGCTTTGGACAGTACATTTTTAAAATTTTGAAGGGGAAAATGACTGTATGGTTTTGTCAATATGATTAAATGTGATTTATATAATTAGATGAAAGCAAACTTAATTCTTTCAAAAAAGCTAATTAAAGTGACGTTCTCTTTCACAGAGCCTGATGAACAACATGATTTAAACGATCTGAGGATTGTCCTGCTGGGAGTCTCTGGTGCTGGAAAGAGTCCAACAGCAAATGCAATACTGGATCGAGAGGCATTTAAAGAAAGCAGAACCAGAGAGAGTGAGATACAGAGAGGAAGAGTAGAAGACAGAAACATCTCCATCATCGACACTCCAGGATTCTTCAACTCTCAGCTGACTGATGAAGAGCTGCAGAAGCAGATGATGAAGAGCCTGTATCTCTCCGGTCCTGGTCCTCACGTGTTCCTGCTCATCCTCGACCTGGAGACGTGCAGAGAGGAGCCGAGGAACGTTGTGGAGCAAATCCAGGAGTACTTTGGAGAGCAAGCTATGAGGTTCACTATGGTGTTGTTCATTGGAAGAGAAAAAATATCCAAAAAAGAATGGATTCAAATCATTGAGAGTGAAAATATTAAAGAGCTGCTGAACTACTTTGAGGGAAGATATCAAGTGATAAACAGCAAAAGTGAATGTGATTCCTACCAGATCACAATGCTCTTAAAGAGTATTGATGAAATGGTGAAGAACAATGGAGGACAGAAATACAGCCATGAGATCTACCTGAAGGAAGATCTCAGGAAACAGATGGAAAGTCAGGAAGAGATGGAAGGACTGATACAGAAGATTGCTAGAGAAAGATCACGTATAAAATTGGGTGAATATTTAGCCTTTTGGGGTTTTATTTTATGATTTTCATGTAAAAAAAATTATAATAATAATTCAACACGTTTACAAAGTAAACATTGTGGAAATCCAGGTTTTTCAACACAATTGGAACCCTGGTTCTTTGATGGGAAAATAATTGTTAAGGGGGTAAATTAACTTATTTTATATGCTTGTTCTGTCTTATCTTTAGTCATGTTAAGTTATCTCGAGGCCCTCTGAGTAAAGGGCCCCTATTGAGCAAAGACAAAATGCTAAGTTATTAGTTGTTATAAATGTAAATAACATTTAAATTCCTCTCTCTTTAACAGATCTGAGGATTGTGCTGTTGGGTAAAACTGGATCAGGAAAGAGTTCAACAGGAAACACCATCATCGGCAACTTTAAGTTTAATCAAGGTGTGTCCGCTGAGTCTGTTACAAGACAATGTCAAAGACATGTGACTGCAGTGGAGGAGGATAAAATCATCTCAGTGATCGACACTCCAGGACTATATGATACGTCAATGAGTGAAGAAGAACTGAAGAAAGAGATTGTGAAGTGCATCTACATGTCTGCTCCTGGTCCTCATGTGTTTCTGCTGGTCATCAGTCTGGGTGTGAGATTCACAGAAGAAGAGAAGAAAACAGTGAAATGGATCCAGAGAAACTTTGGAGGAAAAGCTTCTCATCACACCATCATTCTGTTCACTCACACTGATCATCTGAAGGGGCTTTCATTAGATGAATATATCAGTGACAGTAATGATCTCAAGGCTCTTGTTAATGAGTGCGGTGGCAGATTTCACTCATTCAACAATGAAGACATGAGTAATCGCTCTCAGGTCACAGAACTGCTGCAGAAGATTGATGAAATGGTGAGGATCAATGGAGGACAGCACTACACCAATGAGAGATTTCAAGAAGCCCAGAGAAGAATTGAACGAAAGGCTTCAAAACAACATCTGAAAGACAATGTGCAAAAAGCAGTAAAAGTCATGGGAGGAGTGGTAGCAGTAGGAGGAGCAATAGCAACAATAGCAATGGCAATAGCAAAATAAGGGCCATCATTTATCTGATTGAACAACAAAGGCCAAATCTTCATACACTAATTTCTAATTCCGTTCTCTAAAAGATTTGATGATAATAGGATTTGAGTTTTTTGAGATTGCCATGTTCAGTACTGGATAGTATGTGTATTGATTATTTAATCTGTATTGTGATTGTAAAAACCTGAAAATATATCTCTCATTTACTTCCTGAACAAAAGTGCTATTTTACAGACAAAGTAATTTCTCTAAAAACACATTCAATACATTTACTTTTTTTAATACAACAATTCTTTCTGGTTCTTGAATCTGATTGGCTGAGAGCCTTTTCCAGCCGTGCGATATTCACCCAGTAACAGCACTCTAACCGTTGCTAAGTTGGGGAGATTTAATATTCAACAACAATATTGATCTGCCTGCTTTGACAACATTATATAAGAACTGAACTGAGCTGGACTGTGATGCTATTTTCTTCTAGAAACAAGCTTTTTTTGCATTATTTTCCTGTTATCTCTGTAAAGCTGATTTGAAACAATCTGTATTGTAAAAACCGCTGTATAAATAAATCTGACTTGACCGTTTCACCGTTTGTTTTCCTCCGCTTGCTGCGACTGACGGTCGAGCAAATCCATCTTTTAAAAAAAAAATACTGTTCGTTTTGTTAGGCGACAAAGTATTTATTTAGACCTCAAACATGTCACTAATATATAATCATTGTGCCTATTTTACAAACTATTGAGACCTTTTCTCAGATGTGAGCTCCAGGCCATCAGCGGGTGTTTAGGGCTCATGTTCCCGCAGAGAACAGCGTCATCTAGGCCAGTCCTTCGGGAATTTGCCACTGGCTCTTATGTAGATACTGGTTAAACTTGAGATATATAATTAATTTGGGGTATCAAACAGGCGATCTTTGGTATTATTAATTTATTACTTGTTCCTGAGCATATCGATTTTGGTTTGGTTTCATTACTCTAGGCTATATTTCACTTGAATCTTGCACTAGAGTGCTGCTTGTACATTTGACTGAATTGTTTGCTTGTGTAACCTGTTAGCAGAGTAACTTACGCAGACAACAGGGAATACTGTTTCACATCAACCAGTCTCTTTCTGACTGGCGCCCCTTTATTTAAACAGACACGTGCATTCTTCAGTCACTGATTAGGTCACATGACATACACTCTGCAATATGATTGCTTGCTTGGTTCAAAAAAATAAATAAATAAAAAGCAAACAAATCAAATATAAATGAGAGCACAATATTTATAAATCTCAACTTGCTCTCACATTTCTTTTTCATCATTTCCAGTTCATCACTTCAATACAAGTATAAAATTCATACACCAAACATAAATGAGTTAAATTTCATTAACTTGAGCTTTGTTGCTGGTTTTGCACATCCGCAACCATATCATCAGTTGGACAGTATTCCAGATTAATTCTGCCCTCCTTTATCACAGATCTCACAAAATTAAATTTAATGTCCACATGTTTACACCTCTGTCTATACACAGGATTTTTTGCTAAAGCAATGGCACCCTGATTGTCCTCATACACTCTCGATTCATATTTCTGACCATCAATGTTTTCTAACAATTGCTGTAGAAATAAACACTCCTGTACAGTCGCAGCTAAAGCCATATACTCTGCTTCACAAGTCGACAGTGCAACAGTAGGCTGTCTTTTGGTCTTCCATGAGACCAGTGGACCATTTTTGTTTAGGCTAACACAGTAACCTGTAGTACTCCGTCTATCAGTTACATCAGCTGCCCAATTCGCGTCGCTGTGTGCATGAATCAAGTTATCATTTTCATCCTTTTTGTAACACAGTTCTTTGTCTTGTGTCCCTTTTAAATATCTTAAAACATGCTTGACAGTGTTCCACTGTTCTGTGGTTGGTCTAGTAAAATACTGTGACAGTTTGCTCACTACAAAACTTAGGTCTGGTCTTGTGCATGTTGCCAGGTAGATTAAGCTACATACTACCTCCCTGTATTTTCTAACATCACTCATTCCCTCAGCATCATCAGTGTAGTTTAGTTTCTGTTCACATGGAGTTACTCTGGAGTCTGGACTTACAATTTTGCATGTCAAATCTCTCAAGTATTTTCTTAATATACTTACGTTGTGACATTTTAACACAACCAAAATCTTGCTCATAATCAATACCAGTCAAGTCAAGTCAAGTCATCTTCATTTATATAGCGCTTTTAACAATGGAGATTGTTTCAAAGCAGCTTTACAGAGATAAACATACAATTTACGGAGATTGTTTTGGCTTTATAGCGATTTTTGAATAATGTTGTTTCCAGCTAAAGTTGGTTTTGATTGATTCACTTCCAGCAAAATTATCATTTGTTATTACATTAGGGGCCACTAAGACGACGGCGTTCTCTCTAAACAGACGTTAAACGTGAACCTGTGAACGGATGGCGTTCACATGCGCATTAAAAATTGATTCTATAGTTATATTCGTTTGAATATGTGCGCGCAGGTTTGTAATTTCCCAACAAACCATGCCTAAACAAACTACTTGTCTTGCCTATAAATTTGATACAGAATTTTATTTTATCACTTCGGGGTACGCGAACCGGATTTTCAACAACGCTTTATCTGTAGAGTGGGAAAGGGATCCTCCATAGGGAGAGGATAGTGGATACTTCAGCACTGCATTGTCATCGGGTCCAGGCGAATCTCCTTCGTCAGATCTGGATACGGCCTGGATCCGGCAGGCTGCGGGAAAACCTTGGGATAAACAAAGACACTAATATTAGCGTAGATGCCATTCTTCTTATGATGTAACGAGTACATCTGGATTTAAGGGAAGTGTTCCCAGTTCCGGCTGACCTAATCTATGCAGCCTAACATTGAATTAATTGAATACCAAGGAAATGTGTTAATTTTCCCAAGTCCTTCATTTTAAATTTTGCATTGAGTGCCTCTTTTACATGATTACATTGTTGGCTGCAATAATCAAGTCATCAACCCATATGATTATAAAAACTTTCTCAGTTTCTGTAACCTTTGTGTAAACACAATGATCAGCTGAGTTTTGAACAAACTTCATTTCACAAAGATACTCATGCAACATTTGGTTCCAGTTCCTGCCCGACTGTTCAAGTCCATACAGTGATTTTTTCAATTTATACACCAGTTTTGTATTACCTTGAGATTTTATCTCGTAACCCTCTGGCTGTTTCATATAAATGTCACACTCTATTGGCGCATGCAGTGGTCACATCCATTTGATGAACAATCAAATTTTGTTCTGGTCAGGGTAAAAGTTACACTTTCCTTTAATGACTTCATCTCTTCACTCATAGCCTTATCCCATTCATCTGCATTCACTGATGTTACTGCTTCTTTGTATGTCTGGGGTACATTACATACAAGTCTGTAACAATAATCAATGTCAGCTTCGTCACCATCAAAACCACAAACATAATCACTTAAATAACCTGGCCTTTTCCTCTCTCTGGCAGGATTTCTGCCTTTTTCAGGTTTATGATCCATTTGTGTTTGGTTTCCGCACATTTCTGGCTCTTTTACCATGACCGGTTCCTGAGAATTCTGCAGATCAATTTCAGGACCTCCTCTTTTCGATTCTCTAAGATTATTCCTAACCCTAAAATCGTCAAAATCATCATCAATCGGTATCTCGTCCGCCTCAGCACTCATTCTGGGTAAAATCTCAACTAGTCTGTGCTTCTGTATTTCCCCGCTATCAGGATATAGTACAGTCATTTTATGAAAAAAGGTTGAACAAATTGCAACAGAAGCAAACTCAACTGATTTTGTATCCTCAATATGTCCTGAGTAAGGAAACAAAAGCCCCGAAGAATCCCATTAGGGGAAAGTTTCGAAAAAGACCCAAATATATCCCATTCATACGCCTATTCATTCTGTTTCTCACGTGAAAGGGGTAAAAAATGTAACCTTTAGATATCATCATGAAAATCAATGAGTTGATTACTTACATCAAGACAAACAAAAAATTTATTAAAAGTTTTTTGAAATTGTTTGTTAACATGGACAAACGGTGCATAATATAATTACGGATTAGCTAATTTGCATAATTACCCAAACAGATCTAAACATTGGGTATGGCAGGTGAAAATGTTTTTTTTTTAATCTTGTTGACATATAACAGTAAAAGACTTAATGTTAAGGTCTGAATGGAACCCATTTAGGCTACCCATGAGCATTAATACAAGAAGAAGTACTTTAGAAACCAGCCTTTATTAAATATTATTGCAGAGATGGGGTTTGGGGCATTGAGTGCATTGTGTACGTAACTAGATTTTTTGATCCAGACACTTTTTATTTCACCTACCTTTTGTCTTCTGCATTCTCCTTACCCATGTCTCCTGTTCTCAGACTCATCCCCCAGAAACAGTCCCACTGACCCAGCCCCAAACCCCATCTCTGCCATAATAATTAATAAAGGCTGGTTTCTAAAGTACTTCTTCCTGCATTAATGTTCATGGGTAGCCTAAATGGGTTCCATTCAGACCTTAATATTAAGTAGTTTACTGTTATATGTCAACAAAATTCTACAAGACATTTTCACCTGCTATACCCAATGTTTAGATCTGTTTGGGTATTTATGCAAATTAGCACATATGTAATTAGATTATGCACCATTTGTCCAAGTTAACAAACAATTGCAAAAAACTTGTAATACAATTTTTGTTTGTCTTGATGTAAGTAATCAACTCAGTGATTTTCATGATGATATCTAAAGGTTAAAATCTGTACCCTTTTCACGTGAGAAAAAGAATGAATAGGCGTATGAATGGGATATATTTGGGTCTTTTTCTAAACTTTCCCCTAATGGGATTCTTCAGGGCTTTTTTTTTTTTCTTACTCAGGACATACTGAGGATACAAAATCAGTTGAGTTTGCTTCTGTTGCAATTTGTTCAAGGTTGACTAATAGTAGATCATGTATGCTGGACTATTCTTGTCATATCCCACAAAAATGCCCTTCTCACATCTCGAGTTCAGCTTACTTTTCTCATGTTGATAAGCGTAACACGAAATACCAAACTTCTGCATTCTAGAAATGTTCGGTTGCCTGCCTGTTAACATGAAGTAAGCTGTCTGTTTAGTTCGGTTATTAAAACATCACTACAG